CGGCATAGCAAACTTGACCTTGACGTCCATAAGAGACTGTGTAAACAGCTTAACCTCACTTTAACTCTGTTTATTGTTTATTTTCATTTTTCTGTGAATTTCTAAAGTGTTTTTATCAGTTTGAGAACGTTTTTTGATAGAAATTTTTATTTTTGGCGTTTTTGTGGTTCATGTAGTTTATGTTTGTAAAATTTAAACAAAAAACATAGGTACCTAATAACTACGTAAATTCTTGAAAAATAAGTCACCCCAGCAATATCTATAGTTTGCGGTAAAAAAAGAGAATACTTTTACTTATAATATAAATAGTGAAACATTTCAACACTAGCATGATCTTGCAAAAATTAAGTAGGTAGAGAGTACATCAAATTTTAACAGAACTCTTACCACTTTCCAACATCAGGAGATTCCAGCAATAACTTTCAGATAAGCATTCTGCATTTTATCAAAAATCAAAAAATATTTATGAACTATATGTTTCAGACTGCTAACATAGTCAACCATCCAAGGACCTTTTTTTTCAGTTATACATGTAAACCCCATACTTTGTGAGTGGCTTGCTTACATCAAGTCCTACAACTTTTCCTCTACGACTTTTCTCGGAAATGGCACGTATGCGCGCAGGCGACTCGCAAACATTTTAGGGGTATCGGACTCCCCCAATTTGCCATTATTTTTGTCGGCCAAGTTGATTTCCGTGATTTAGACATAAAAATCAAACAGTATTCGTAGAATTAGATTTACCTACATGTATCAGGAAACATAGCTACGTCAGTTCGACATGCTCAAGGAACCCATAGACCCATGGCCTCCGAACTGAAGCTGACTAGCCGTAGCAATATAATCAGGCAATTGCCAAAATAAGTACGTTATATCTTAATAGAGTTCATGCTGCTCATGCCTCAATTTTCCTAGGGGCCCCACCTCTGTACACATAGCGGACATGACCGTTCAGGCGAAAAAGCTGTTTTAGGTAATTTATAGGGCTGCCGCTTACCGAATATATTCGCGCTACATATCTTTAGCTTAACTCTTCATTTAAAAGGCGAATAAGCTAATTATTCCTTTCATTTTCTGTTAATCAAGGCATTACATGAGTGGCGAATGTGTTTCTTTTGCGACGAAACGCGGTTCAACCTGATACACTCCGATGGTAGGGTGTTAGTATGGAGGCAACCTGGGGAGCGATTTGAAGAAGTTTGGGCCGGAGTGATGTACAACGATAGATCCGACTTATACATTTCACGGGGTACTGTTAACGCCGTAATTTATCGGACTTACATAATAAATGACATTGTTATTCGATATGCAGAAAATATTGGGGAGCATTTTTTCATGGTTGACCATAATGCGAGACCACACAAAGCAAGTATTGTTTAGGAGCTTTTGGGGGAGCATAACATGCAACAGTTACACCTGCCTCAAAAATCTCCTGATCTTGTGTGGTCTCAGCTTAAGTTACTGGTACGATCGCGCGAAAATGCTCCCAAACGCTGGATGAGTTCTCACTTGCCATAGAAGAAGAGTTGCAAAATATCCCTCAGGAATTCATTAATCTCTTGGTTGACAACATGCCACGGCGATGCCAAGAGGTTGTGAATGTGAGAAGAGGGATTACTCGCTATTAATTAAATAACTTTGAATATCGGCCGTTCTTTATTATTTTTTTTAGTTTACGTTGTTTATTACTTAACTTTTAGGTCACATTGTTTTTGCTATTGAATCTTAGTTTGATTAGTTTTTTAGTTCACTTATTTTGATACGCTTTATCTAGGTATCTACCTAATTAAACTGAAAGTACTTCTTAACGCATTTAAAGTAGAGGAATTTCAGATGTTACCGGTTGACAACGGCGCGCAACGTTGTATGATTTGAATAAACATTTTCAAATAAATAACATGTGTCGATTCATTTTGTTATTTCTAGCTGTCAGTGGACTTGATAATTTATTATTACATTCTGGTAAATTATAAGGAAAAAAAAAGGATTGACAACATTGTCAGTCCTTGTTCTACGACGTTATCCTAAATATAACGTAAAAAACCTATAGGAACACTTTTTGTGTTTTGTTTTAATTCAACTTAAAGAAGCATTAACGTTGTTCATATAATTTTTTGTTTTGCAGATAATGTACTTTACCATCCTTAACTTTATTTTTTGATACTGCTACCATTAGTGGAAGAATTTTTAATTGAAATACCTTTAAACATGAAGCTACAAAGAAAATTAGCAGGTGATAAAAATTCGGGTTTCCTCTCACCACAACGAAATCGGTTCCGAATATTTAAATATTATCAGTGGTATTAATAATTATTAGCACGCCACTGTATAGCATATCATTGAGGTATTCGAAATTTTTAATCATAAAAATAAGCTAATCGAAAGTTATAACAATTGCTAATAAAATTGATTTAATGAAAAATAATAATTTCTCTTTGCACGCCACTGTACAGCATATCATTGAGGTATTCGATATTTTTAATCATAGGCTGAAAGGTATAACAATTGCTAAAAAAATTCACCGGTAAGAACGATTCAGGATGGTTTAGAACGGAAAAATCGAAAAAATTAATATGGTTATGTTAAATAAACGATATTTCAAAAACAAAGGCAAATATCAAAATTTTGAGAAATTGGTTTCTTAATAATATGTCAATGATTAAAGTGAACTAAACAAATGAAACTTCAAATGATTATTTTTAAAATTATGCACCTTTGAATGTAAAATTCGGTGAGCCATTAATAAATTATTCCGAAAATGGGCGATTATTAGTACGCTACTGAACACCACATTATTTAAGTAAATTTTTTTCATTGAAAATAAATAAGGATATCATGGGGTATATCAAACAGCAGCATAAGATGCAAAATTTATTGTACAGGATGGTTTAGGTGCTTAAAAGTTGAAAAAAGTGGAGGTTATGGAAAAAAGTCGATATTTTTAAAACTAAGGCAGGTATAAAAAATTTGAGAAATTACTTTTTTTGCAGAAGATCTTTGATTAAAACGCCGCATAGAAATAAAATTTAAAAAATTATCTGAGAAAGTTACACACATTCAAAATTGGGATGAAAAACATGGACTCTTTTAACAAACTGTATAAAAAAAAAGTAGACATTTAAAAAAAATACAGAATAGCAATTTTTTTCACAAAAAGTCAATCTGTCAGCCCGTGAAAACCGCAGGTCGATATCTATTGTGGTTCCAAAAATATCGAGCTTGAAAGTTAGGCGATATTTACCTTGTTCGAAAGCAATTGTCCAGCAGTTTATATATAATTGGGATTATTGGAATGATTTTATTTTTGAAGCCGAGTTTGAACCTAAAGGAAATTGAAACAAATTAAAATTCATTAAATTAAACTCTGAAACAGGTAGAAATAAGTGAAATAACACACATTTATATCTGTGTTTATATGGAGGCATGTTTAACCTCAATGGTTTGTTTACATTTGTGCCGCATCGCCATCTTGAATTATCAGCTGATCCGAACTGCCTAATTTATCATACGTCTCTAGCAAGTCAAAACTTTCACGACCATGGCAAGAAAGAAGCGGCGTATTTGAAATTTGGTAGAAAAATGGAAGGAAATCGATCCTTATTGTACGAAATCTACTCTGTTCTCAAAAAAATTATTTCTACATGATGATTGAGACTGAAGAATATTAAAGATTTGCCTGAACATAGTGATATTTTGACAATACAGATTTTGCCTGATTTTTGATTTTTTTCCAGGAACAGTGGCGCACCCAGAAAATATTTATGTTTAGAGGGAGAGGGGCTTTACATAGGTTGTGGCTTGTGACTGAAATTCTAAAAAAAAAGAGGCTCGAGGGTACCACGCCCTGAATTTGCCACATTTTTTTATACCTACGTAAAAATTAAGTTTCGCAGGGGGCGGTCTGGGGGGGCCCTGGCTCGATGCCCCCCCTGGGTGCGCCACTGAATGAGATGTTGTGTCTTTAAACAATGAAGCATATTTTAATTGGATTTGAACTTCCCCAAGAAATACCTCAGTTTTGTCCATATTTTGATAGTTATACAATAAAACTCAAATTTAAAAAACTAATAAGGTACCTGACCCAAATAAGGCCATGTACCTAATAAGGCCAGTGCCCTTTATTGATTAATATTGAATCCCATTTCCAAAAATTACAATATTATTAAAAAAGAAATCTATAATGCAAATCAAAAATTATTACAAGGGTTCCTAGCAACGCGTCATATGTCGAAAAATGGCCAACCACATATTTCATATGTCACGTTATAACTTTGAGGCTGGAACTCAATTAGCTTATATAAGTGTCTATGAAGTGAATGGAGCGATTGTAATTTTTCAACGGACATTTTATGTATTGAGAAAGCTACAGAGTAAGTACAGAATAATATCTTTGTTAGATTTCTAGTTATAGACTTTTTTTTATCAATTTAACATGTTCCTAATAAGGCCATCATACGAAAATAAGTCAATTGGCCTCAAATCACAGTGTTTTTTCAAAAGAATGTGTCATAATATTACTTAAGTGATGTTTTTTAAAATGCCTGGAGTCTAACTAAGCAAGAGCTGCTGCAGTTCCATGTATCCTAGTTATATGTAGACCTATTTGGATCACCATCCCAGGACTTGGAATTATTGTTTTTTTAGGAATGCAGCAAACGTATACGTTCTATTTTGTGTACTATTTCTCAAATAACAATATTTTTATAAAAAATTGTATTTATTTTAAACATTTTTCAATAGTGGCCTTATTAGGAGCATAGTGATTCGAATAAAGCCAATGCTAAGCGTCTTTGTTTTATGCAAAAACCACCACTTATATAAAAAAATAAAATAAAATGGAGTTAATATTCAAGTAATAGAACCGAAACACTTCAGCTTATATGTCATATAAGCTCGTGATTTTTGTTGGGTTTGGTGGATGATGTTAGGAAAAAATAAAACTTCTTAATGTGGCCTTATTTGGGACAGGTACCTTAATTCAAATAGGTAAAAATACTCACCTACAATCTTCCTGCCTTCCTTGAACTTCAAAATTTCATACAACGTATCACTAGCGGTCCGAACAACTTCAATATCAGGATCGATGATGTACTGGACCAAAAGCGACACAACGTGACCTGTCAATAGCTCAAAAGAATTACAGTGTATGTCCAGAACTCGCTTTTCAGGCTTGAGCACTATAGTAGTCAAATCGGCAGGTCCTAATTCGCCTAGACATTTGATGGCTTCATGACTGATATTATCGTTGGGATAGCAGCTCATTTTAATTAGCGTCGAGGTTAGTTTGTGTAGTAAGCTTTGTTCGCAATCTTCTGAGAAACCTCTTATGTTGCTTAAATTATCGTATAGTAGTTTCAGTTGTAGTTTTTCTTTGGATAAAATTGATTTTAAATGTATCAAGCTATCTTGTCTAGTTGCTATATCATTATTATCCAAAAATAATGTTATTTCGTCTTGCAATGATATGTTTTTATTGTTATATTTTATATTATTGTGTCTATTTCTTATTTCATTAAATTCAGGCCTTGATGGAAAGGTGTCGAGTTTTTCTATAGTTGTTAATAGAGCATGTGAATTATCGATTATAATAAATTCTAATATTTCAATACAAAGTGGTAATAAATGCTCATTTTCAATTGCAATATTTTTTAAAGAATTTACAACAAATGTGACAAATTGTTGAAATTCTTTGTGTTTTTCTGGCAAGATATTTTTTAAACAGTATTTCATATAACTTAGAACAGCTTTGCCAATTTTAATGCAATTACGTATCAAATGTACTAAGAAGTAAATAGTGTCTCTCAGGAAAAATTCATTTGGTAATGTTTTAAGCACTAAATCATTGAATATTGTAAATTGATGAAAACATTTCAATTGTTGCTCTACGGCACAATTGTAAACTTTGTATTGTAAATTGAGCTGAATTTTTTGGATTTTGTCTTTTTTATTTTTGGACAGGTAACTAATCAGGTTATTACCATTGCATAGTAAATTCTAAAATAAAATAAATATTAGCATTTTTTGGCCTTAAATATTTAGAAATTTTTTACCTGAATATAATCAAGACATTTGTTAAAGTCATTATAAGTTATTCCTTTAGAAGTGAATAATGTGGTTACTCCAAGAATTTGTTCAATATTTTTTTGGTCTGTTAAGCCACCAAGTAAACTTAATATAATTTGATCAATGTCTTTTAATAAGTAATCTTTAAACGTGGGGCCTAATATTTGACATAAATATGAAACGTCTAAATTTTTTCTGATAAATTGATCGTCGATATTTTTTGAATTTGTGCTGAGCGACCTGGCAAATATTTTTGGACAGCACCGCTAGAAAAATTACAATTATTTGAATATTTCTTTATACTAAATTCCTTACCTCAAATACATCTTTTTCTGACATTTTCATTTCTTTAGCAACAGCGAAAAGGTCATTTTTATCTAATTTCAGTAAAATTGGTAGACATGTGTCGAAATATTTCAAATAGAGTTCTTTTTTATCAGTACAACCCAGCAAATTGAATTGGATGTCGTTGATATTGTAGCCCGACTCGATCCATTTGCTAAGAACGATTTCTAAATATTTTTCCATGAATTTTTTGTTACCAAAATGTAGTTCTAGTGCGTAGAAAACTTTGTTTAAAAGTTCTGAAAAAAAATAATAATAATTTTATTTTGTTCCCTGTAGTTTTTTGTCTTATTTATTCTTTGTCAAATGCTTATTACAATAAAATGCCATGAAACCAATTATGCGGAACAAGTTAATAAAACTGTAAGAAGTTTCCGAATTTGTAAGTAAAGTTTTAGAGGGTCCCAACTGCAATGATAAACTCTTCATCTTTGACAAGTAGATGTAGAATTGTCAATATTGACTCACCTCCATTAGAAATATTATAAAGTTTTTTGCTGTGTTCCAGTTTTATAAGAGCAAAAAGTGCTTCTTCCACCCAACTGTTACAGTTTACAATAATACATAAAAATGTGTACAAAGCCGAAGACGCTCTAGATATCATTTCATCTTGCCTTCTTTCATCTGTTAAAGAGCCTTGTACTTCAAAAACTTGAATATTCTAAAAAAAAAAAAAAAATATATTACACTGTAGCAAAAACTCCACAATCTTATACATACTGATTGATAAATCAATTCAAATAATTCCTCCAACCGATGCAAGGTTGCTAGTTTGGTAGTACCAGATGAGTTTTTAAAGAATTCCACCAAGACTTCTATGGCTCTGTAACGAACTGTTTGAAAATCGCTTGCTAGAAATTGGGGAACGAATTTTATTATTTCTCTGTTTTCCCATTTGGTAAAGCAACATTCAGGATCCACCTACAAAAATTTGAATTAATGCAAATAAATACGTGAATTGTTTGATGTACAAACATACCTTACAAAGTGCCTCAATTGCATTCAAAACCTCGATGGCAATAGTTGGGCCATAAGACGATAAGCGAGAATAAAATGGTTGAAGTAATGCAACTGCTAAGCTTTTACAATCATCATCATCTACATGAATGAGATGTCGATAAATATCTACAATAATTTGTTAAATTATTAAGTTTACAAGAATCTTTATGCAAATATTTACCACTTAAAAAGGATATTATTTTTTGGGCACTCTTGTAGCTACGATATGTTACTGTACTAAGTTCCTGAAGACAATCCAGAATTTTCTGTATAATTTCTTCAGGGAGATATTCTTTACTGGCTAATTTGATGCTGTTTAAAAATTCCATTGCCTGGATAATATTAAAGATTCAATGTCTTCGAAAAATAGTTATTTGTATTTGTAAGGGAGCAAAGTGCATCAATTCTTTCTGCCCAGCAGATAATGGCAAGATAGGAAATTGCACTTTACTCCAGTAGAATAGCTACATATAATTTATAACATTAGACATACAAAAATGTTAATTAGGTATTGGCGAGGGGTGGTTAACTGGTCAAAATCCATATACAAGTTGGTCAAAATCCCAGAAAATCTCATAAGATCTACTCAAAATCCCTAAAAATCTTTAAAATCCTTAAATTTAACAAAATCCCATAAAATCTCTTGAAATTGCATAAAAATCATAAAATCTAACAAAATTTCATTAAAACCAAAAAAATCCTGCAAAATCTCATAAAATCATTAACATTCCTAAAAAATATTTCCTTTGCAATTCCCGAAAATCCTTCGGAATCCCCAAAAATCTGGCTAAAGTCTCTCAAAATTCCATAATTTAGTGGAATTTCGAGGAATTTCGATAGAATTATATTATTCTGAAAAAAGAACTACATGTGAAATTTTTGCAGAGTTTCCATAGAATTCACATTAAATTTTAGTTCCTCTCGAATTACATGAAATTTCAGTTCAGTGAAATTCCGATCGAATTTCATGGAGGAATTCTAAACAATTATATGAAATTACACCGAAATTCCCAACATGAAATTTCAGTACTTACTGAATTTTAGTAAAATTCCAGAAAATTCCACAAGTCGAATACCGAAGAATTGCCGGCTAAAAACATGGAATTTCGGTGATATTCCGAAAAATTCACATGAAATTTGAATATATTTCGGCGAATTTTTAAGAAATTACTTGAAGTTTCATTAATATTCCCAGAAATTCCTGGCTATTAAAAGAGAATTTCAGTGAAATTCCGAAAAATTCTTATGAAAATAAATGAAATTTTGAAAAATACCTTGAAGTTTCATTGGACTTTCAAGAAATCTTCGGTTATGGACGTAGAACTTCAAAATATTCTCATAAAATTTTAGTAAATTCCGAGGAATTTTATGAAAAGTTTGTGGCATTCCAGGATATTTCAGTGGTGAAATTTTGGAAAATTTCAGTAATGTTAAAAAAAAAATTATGGAATTTTGAAATTGAAATTTTAGTGGAATTCCGAAGAATTTCTTGAAATCCTATACATTAATTCCGAAAAAAAATTGTCTAAGAATTCCATAAAATCTTCTGGTGAAATGTTAAGGAATTCCTATGGAATAACTTGAAATTTTAGTGGAATTCCGAAGAAATTCATGATTTTATAGTGTAATTCCGAGGAATTTTGTTCAAGAATTCCATTGAATTTTATTGTGAAATTTTGAAAAATATGAAATCTTATAGTGAATTTTTTAGGAATTTCCATTTTTCCATTCAAATTTATCATTTGAATGGAATTTCAAAAAATTCCATAAAATCTTCTGGTGAAATTTTAAGGAATTTCTATGAAGTTAACTAAAATTTTTACGGAATTCCCATGGAATAACTTGAAATTTTAATAGAATTCCGAAGAATTTCATGAAATCTCATAGTGCAATTCCGAGGAATTTTTGTGTAAGAATTCCATTAAATTTTATGGTGGAATTCCATATAATCCTATGATGAAATTCGGAAAAGTATTATGAAATCTTATAATAAAATTTCTAGGAATTTACGTTTTTCCATTCAAATTTATCACTTGAATGGAATTTCGAGGAATTCCATAAAACCTGGTGAAATTTTAAGGAATTTCTATGGAATTGACTAAAATTTTCGCGGAATTCCCATGGAATAACTTGAAATTTTAGTGTAATTCCGAAAAATTTCATGAAATCTTATACCTATTGTAATTCCAAAAAAAAATAAATTCGAAAAATTCCATTGAATTTTATGGTGTGAAATGTGACATGTTAAATTTTTGCGGAGTTTCCATAAAATTCATACTAAATTTTAGTTCCTTTCGAATTACATAAAATTTCGAGAAATTACATGAAATTTCATTGGAATTTCGATCGAATTATGTACATGCAATACTAAATGAGTTACATGGAGGAATTCTAAACAATTACATGGAATTACACCGAAATTTCCAACATGAAATTTCAGTGCTCGGTAAATTACATAAAGAATTTTAAAAAAGTTTCAAAAAATTACATGAATTCCGAGGAATTTTCGTCGAATTATATAGAGCTCCGATACAATTGCATGGAATTCCAAGGAATTGTCAGTACATGAAATTTAAGTGGAATTTTGAATAACTATTATCGTTTTATAGGGAATTCCAGTGAAATTCCGAAAAATCCTAATGTAATTACATGAAGTTTTATTTTTATTCCAAGGAATTTCCAGTTAAAAACATGGCATTTTAGTGAAATTGAAATTCCGAAAAATTCCCATGGAATTACTGAATTTTAGTAAAATTAGAGAAAATTTCACAAATGGAATTCCGAGAAATTGCCTGCTCTAAAAACTTCGAATTTCGGTGAATTTTCAAGAAATTACAGGAAATGACAGTGAAATTCCGAAAAATTTGTGGAATTCCAGGATATTTTAGTGGTGAAGTTTTGGGCAATTTCAGTATTATGAAATAAGTATTTGCAAAATTACCATCAAATTATACAGGATGTATATTTTAAGTGATACCACTATTGCTATATCCGAAACGGTAAGAGCTACAGGGTCAGTTAAATTAGAAAAAAGTTGCCTTATTTGATGCCCATTTAAGACTCGTTTACAGAGTTGCCAAATTCCTTTTAGTTTATGAAATACAGGGTGATTTCTAAAAAACGGCCAAAAATATTTCATCATTTATTTCGAAAACTATTGATTTTCGAGACACAATTTAAATTTGAAAGTTTTATAATTTATTTCGCTCTACAACATGACATCTCCAAATTTCAAATCCGATGTTTCGTGATCGAAATACCATCATCAACTTCATTTTTTTAAATACGGACCTGAATTTTTTATGTCATTTTTAGGAAGTGCCCTTAATTCTTTTTCCAAAAATGACATAAAAAATACAGGTCCGTATTTAAAAAAAATAAGTTGATGATCGTAGCTCGATCACGAAACGTCGGATTTAAAATTTGAAGATGCCATGTTGTAGAGCGAAAAAAATTATAAAACTTTCAAATTTAAATTGTGTCTCGAATATCAATAGTTTTCAAAATAATTGATGAAATCATTTTAGGCCTTTTTTATAAATCGCCCTGTATTTCATAAACTAAAAGGACTTTGGCAACACTGTAAATAAGTCTTGAATGAGCATCAAAAAAGGCAACTTTTTTCTAATTTAACCGACCCTGTAGCTCTTACCGTTTCCGGATATAGCCACAGTGGTATCACTTAAAATATACACCCTGTATATAATTTCACTTTGTGTCGACTTACTCGAGTTACATAAAATTTAGATGAAATGTCGAGTAAAATTCCAAAGAATTCTCGTCGAATTACATACATGGAATTGCTTGAAATCTTATTGTAGAATTCCAGTGAAATTATATGGAATCCGAAGAATTCCCTTGAAATTAAACAGAATTTCCGTGGAATTTCCATGGAACTACAAGAAATTTCGGCGGAATTCCAAAGAATTGAATTAAATTTTAGTGAAATTCTAAGTAATTTCTGTTGAATTATATAAAGCTTTAGTGGAATTCCGAAAAATTGAAATCTTTTATTGTAATTCCAAGGAATTTTTGTCCAAGAATTCCATTGAATTTTATGGTAGAATTCCATGGAATCATATGATGAAATTCGGAAAAGTATTATGAAATCCTATAGTAAAATGTCTAGGAATTTCAGTTTTTCCATTCAAATTTGTCATTTGAATTTAGAATCTCTGAAAACTTTTCAAAAACCCCTAAAATGCTCCAGAATCCCTAAAATTTTGAAAATGTAAAATCTTCTGTAAAATCGTGTGAAGATTTTCAAAATTCCCAAAATCCTACAAAATCAATTAAGATTTAAAATATGTGTTCATTCATTATTTTATAGAGCTAACTAAACCTCGGAGCGGTTGATTGGTCAAAATCTGTATACAAGTCCAGAAAAACTTGTAAAATATATTTAAAATCCCTGAAAATCTTTAAAAATTCAACAAAACCCCACAAAATCCCTTAACAATCACTTGAAATTGCATAAAATTTCACAAAATCACACAAAATTTTATAAGAACAAAAAAAATCTGACAAAATCTTATTTATAAAATCATTAATATGTATTCCTTAAAAAAAAAATCCTCCAAAATTTCGAAAAATCCTTTGGAATCCTCAATAATAATCCGTTAAAATTTCTAAAAATCCTTTGGGATCTTTAATGGCCGTTTCCACCAACTATTTTAGGGGAGCTTCAACAATAAGTATTCCTTAAAATGTTTTCTATGGAGAAATGTCAGTTTAAAAAATACTTATCGTTAGTTTAGTTGGTAAAAACGCCATAAAAAACCTTTCTAAATTCCCTAAAATTATCCAAAATCACCTAAAATCTCATAAATCTAAAATCTTTTAAAATCCTCAAAATCCTACAAAATCAATAAAGATTTAATTATGTATTGGTCAAAATCCCAGAAAAACCTGTAAGATCTACTTAAAATCCCTGAAAATCTTTGAAATCTTTAAAAATCTAACAAAATTTTATTAGAACAAAAAAAATCCGGCAAAATCCTATAAAATTCCCAATAAAAAAATTCCTTTAACATTTCTAAAAATCCTTTGGGATCTCCAAAAATCCGTTGAAATCTCTAAAAATCCTTTAGGATCTCTAAAAACCCTTCTAACTCCCATAAAATGCTCCAAAATCACCTAAAATCTTTTAAAATCCTGTGCAATCATGTGAAGATTTTCAAAATCCTTAAAATCCTACAAAATCGATGAAGATTTAAAATCTGTGTACATATTTTAAGGAGGTAACCACCCCTCGGGTATTGGTATTAGTGAAAAGATTTTTTAAAATAAATTTGCACAAATCTACTTACCAAATCATAATCACTTTCAGTATTAAAGTCATAATCTGGTCTGGCCAATGACAGCAACATAAGTCGTTGACTATTTGAGGGTTCCTGGATATTTGACACAAAAGAATATTTCGATAATGCACCAGTTAGTGATATTTTTATTTTGTGTTCTAAGGCTGCTTTTTTGCCTGCAACTAATTTGAGGAAAACTATAGAAATTTATAGGTATTAGGTAACATATACTGAGCTCACCATTTTGAAAAAAATTCAAAATATCCACCACTTGTCTCAAAAAATCAATGGTAAACATTTCTTTTACCACACTAGTGACACTATTGTTTAAGGAAAAAATTTCATCCAAAATTTCCGAAATGTTTAAAAGTTGCTTCATCATTTTGTCATTATGGACTTGATATCTTTCCAAGGACATGACAGAATCACTATCTAGCAATTTCCTTATGAGTGTAATAGTTTTACTACCATTTTCAATATGAATTTCATAGTCAATCAAACAACTGAGAATATTGTATAAAAGACCAACAACACATAATATTTTGTCCACGGTTTCTGTTTGAGTAACTTCAGCAAATTGCGTTAATTTTTCTTCAAGCATATTTACAACAATGAAATCAACATTAAAAGTCCTTTTTGTGACTATTGGGGATTTAATGCAATTCAACTTAATGATTTCAAACTGTTGTTTAGCATATAGCTTCACGAGATTCACATTATAGTAATTCTGACTTGTTTCTGGCTTTAATTTCCTTAAATTGGGACATTGTTTAAGGGTCAATGTCACTAAAATTTTTGCAAAATTTGGTTTAAGAAAACATCTATAGTTTTTGACATTATGTGGACTTAAAAGACTATTAAATAATTTTTCTTTTTTATTAATTTCCAGCTCAGAAATGTCAATTTGTTCTAAAACCATAACCAAAGTGTTCAGGTGATGTTCAGTGATGCTCAGTACTCCCGATGTGTATGTTTGTATCACAGATTCAATATTAACTAGATTATGACTTATAAGTTTTTCTAATAAGTTTTGTGTGGCTTGGATGTTGTGATTTAGACCAACAGCCCTAAAATTACGCAGAATTGTTTAAAAAAAAATAATAATATTTATAAAATCCTTCTTGCCTCAATGTCGAATCTCCAATCAATTTCCATAAATTAGTAATTTCATTTGTAATTTCAAAATAACCGTTGATATCAATAAGAATTGCTTGAGTTTCGTAAATGTAGTTCATAGTGTTATTGTCGTTCACTTCAAGTTGTAAACTGTGTAAGATTTGTAACAAACGTAAAAATAATTTGGCGTCTATTAGATTTGGGTAACATTTTAGGAGTGCACCAACAAGTTTCACCCTAAATTAAGTTTATATTAAAAAAAATATATTATTTTTTTACATTTTTCACATACCAAATAAAACTCTTGGTTTCTTGAATTTCAACCACAATTGATTCCAAAGTAGTCTCAATTTTGCGTTTCTTGTAGGTCTGAGTCTGAGTGCTCAGTTGTATGTCGTCATCCATTGATATTGATGACGATATTGAAGATTCTGAATTATTTAATAACTACAATAAAATTAAATTGGATAGATGAGAAAAATGATTTGATGAAAAAGCAGCTGATAACTAAAATTTCTTTTGGGACATTGTGAATTGAATATTTTCATCTTGATTTTCATTGAATAAGGAAGTTAGTCATTATCAGTGTTGCCAACCGTACTATAATTTAGTAATATTTGTACTATAATTGAATGGCTATGTACTATGTACTATCAAAGGTCATTATAGTACGCCAAATACTATAATTATACATTATCAAATTATTTAGTTTTTTACTGAAAAATAATCTCTTTTGCCCTTATGTCTAGTCACCTTTTTTCTTCTTTTTTTTTTAGCTGAAGAGGCTCTGTCGTTTTAGTATTGATACAGTGGCTAAATAAACCTTTACATACAGTGGCGACAATAGAGGTCCTGCCGCCATTTTGTTCCCAACCTCTTGTTACTTACAAATATAAATACATATATAGGATTTAAATGGACATTTATCATAAAAAATTGAAATCAACGTATTTGATGACTATTATCCATCAAATACGTTGTTTTCCATGTTTTATGATGGATGTTCACCCAAATCTCATATATTCATATTTGAAATAAGCCATAGGTGGGAACAAGATGGCCGCGTTTTCAATATAAATATATGGGATTTTAGAACCAATCAAAAATAAGACAGCAATTGTCGCCACTGTAGGTTATAGAGTCACTGTAAGTATTGATGGAGCATGTATATTTAGACAGTTGACATTTTAAATGTCTACTAAGCCAGGCTTTATGAACTACGGAGAATATGACCCTTATGCCCGATTGCACCATCTCTCTTAACTGAGGCTTAACGCTAGCTATCCCTTAAATTGACAGTTTTTCATGGGAAAATGTCACTTTAAGGAATAGTTATCTCTAAGCCTCGGTTAAGAGAGACGGTGCAATCGGGCATTAGTGTTTTTTAGGTGACTGGATTTACACTGTCAATTGTCAATTTCATTGATTTTCCTGAGCGGATCCTTTTTTTATACCAAAAAAGATGTTAACGAACGCACCGCTATTTAATTTTTGATTTTTTTTTCATTTTGTTGTGTTTCACAGGAAAAATTTGAAATTTTAGTGTGATGCGCCCCTGACTTTTCTCTTTTTCTCCAGAAAATGTCATAATTTACCCCTGAATAGTTTCTCAGAAGAAAAATAAAATGTTGGATGATGCATTTATGCCTAATTTAGTTGATTTTCATTAATTTCCAATGGGGTCATTTTCCACTGGAAAAATTTTAAATTTTACTATGATACGTCCCTGACTTTCCTCTTTTTTTTTCCAGAAAATGTCATAAAGTTCCCCTGAATAGTTTCCCAGAAAAAAAAATAAAATGTTAGATGGTGCATTTATGACTAATTTAGTTGGTTTTCATTAATTTCCAATGGGGTTATTTTCCACTGAAAAAATTTGAGATTTTACTACGATACGTCCCTGACTTTCCTCTTTTTCTTCCAGAAAATGTCATAATTTTCCCCTGAATAGTTTTCCAGAAGAAAAATGAAAAGTTGGATGGTGCATTTATGCCTAATTTAGTTGATTTTAATTAATTTCCAATGGACTTATTTTCCACTGAAAAAATTTGAAACTTAACTACGATACGCCCCTGACTTTTGTCGTTTTGTCCAGAAAATTTCATAATTTTCCTTTGGATAGTTTTCCAGAAAAAAAATAAAATATTAAATAGTGCATTTATGCCTAATTTAATTGATTTTCATTAATTTCCAATAGGTTTATTTTTCATTTGAAAAATTTGGAATTTCAGTATGATACGTCCCTGCCTTTTTCCGTTTTGTCCAGAAAATGTCATAATTTTCCCTTGAAAAGTTTTCCAGAAGAAAAATAAAATGTTGAATGGTGCATTTATGCCTAATTTAGTTGATTTTCATTAATTTCCAATGGGGTTATTTTCCACTGGAAAAATTTGAAATTTCACTATGATACGCCCCTGACTCTCCTCTTTTTTTCCAGAAAATGTCATAATTTTCTCCTGAATAGTTTTCCAGAAAAAAAAATGTTAGATGGTGCATTTATGTCTAATTTAATTGATTTTCATTAATTTCCAATGGGGTTATTTTTCACTGGAAAAATTTGAAATTTTAGTATGATACGCCCCTGACTTTTCTCATTTTGTCCAGAAAATTTCATATACTTCCTTTGGATAGTTTTCCAGAAAAAAAATAAAATGTTAGATGGTGTATTTATATCTAATTTAATTGATGCTCATTAATTTCCAATGGGGTTATTTTTCACTGGAAAAATTTGAAATTTTACTATGATACGCCCATGATTTTCTTCTTTTTTTTCCAGAAAATCTCATAATTTTACCTTGAATAGTTTTCCAGAAAAAAAAATAAAATGTTAGATGGTGCATTTATGTCTAATTTAATTGTTTTCATTAATTTCCAATGGGGTTATTTTTCACTGAAAAAATTTGAAATTTTACTATGATACGCCCCTGATTTTTCTTTTTTTTTTCCAGATAATTTCATAATTTTCCCCTGGATAGTTTTCCAGAAGAAAAATAAAATGTTGGATGGTGCATTTATGCCTAATTCAGTTGATTTTCATTAATTTCCAATGGGGTTATTTTCCACTGGAAAAATTTGAAATTTTACTACGATACGCTCCTGACTCTCCTCTTTTTTTCCAGACAATGTCATAATTTTCTCCTGAACAGTTTTCCAGGAAAAAAATGTTAGATGGTGCATTTATGTCTAATTTAATTGATTTTTATTATTTTCCAATGGGGTTATTTTTCATTGGAAAAATTTGAAATTTTAGTATGATACGCCCCTGCCTTTTCTCGTTTTGTCCAGAAAATTTCATAATTTTTCTTTGGATAGTTTTCCAGAAAAAAAATTAAATGTTAGATGATGCATTTATGCCTAATTTAGTTGATTTTCATTAATTTCTAATGGGGTTATTTTCCACTGGAAAAGTTTGAGATTTTACTATGATACGTCCCTGATTTTCCTCTTTTTTTCAGAAAATGTCATAATTTTCCCTTGAATAGTTTTCCAGAAGAAAAATAAAAAGTTGGATGGTGCATTTATGCCTAATTTAGTTGATTTTTATTAGTTTCCAATGGGGTTATTTTCCACTGGAAAAATTTGAAATTTTACTATGATACGTCCCTGACTTTTCTCGTTTTGTCCAAAAAATGTCATAATTTTCCTTTGGATAGTTTTCCAGAAAAAAAATAAAATGTTAGATGGTACATGTATGACTAATTTAATTGATTTTTATTAATTTCCAATGAGGTTTTTTTTCACTGGAAAAATTTGAAATTTCACTATGATACGCCCCTGACTTTCCTCTTTTTTCCAGAAAATGTCATAATTTTTCCCTGAATAGTTTTCTAGAAAAAAATAAAATGTTAGATGGTGCATTTATGTCTAATTTAGTTGATTTTCATTAATTTCCAATAGGGTTTTTTTTTCACTTCAAAAATTTGAAATTTTAGTATGATACGCCCCTGACTAGTCTTTTTTTCCAGAAAATGTCATAATTTTTCCCTATATAGTTTTCCAGAAAAAAAATAAAATGTTAGATGGTACATTTATGCCTAATTTAATTGATTTTTATTAATTTCCATGGGATTATTTTTCATTGGAAAAATTTAAAATTTTGCCATGATAGGCCCCTGACTTTCTTCTTTTTTTCCAGAAAATGTCATAAGTTTCCTTTAAATAGTTTTCCAGAAAAAAAAATAAAATGTTAGATGGTGCATTTATGCCTAAATTAATTGATTTTTTTAAATTTCCAATGGGGTTATTTTTCACTGAAAAAATTTGAAATTTTACTATGATACGCCCCTGATTTTTCTTTTTTTTTCCAGATAATTTCATAATTTTCCCCTGAATAGTTTTCCAGAAGAAAAATAAAATGTTGGATGGTGCATTTATGCCTAATTCAGTTGATTTTCATTAATTTCCAATGGGGTTATTTTCCACTGGAAAAATTTGAAATTTCACTATGATACGCTCCTGACTCTCCTCTTTTTTTCCAGAAAATGTCATAATTTTCTCCTGAACAGTTTTCCAGGAAAAAAATGTTAGATGGTGCATTTATGTCTAATTTAATTGATTTTTATTATTTTCCAATGGGGTTATTTTTCATTGGAAAAATTTGAAATTTTAGTATGATACGCCCCTGCCTTTTCTCGTTTTGTCCAGAAAATTTCATAATTTTTCTTTGGATAGTTTTCCAGAAAAAAAATTAAATGTTAGATGATGCATTTATGCCTAATTTAGTTGATTTTCATTAATTTCTAATGGGGTTATTTTCCACTGGAAAAGTTTGAGATTTTACTATGATACGTCCCTGATTTTCCTCTTTTTTTCAGAAAATATCATAATTTTCCCTTGAATAGTTTTCCAGAAGAAAAATAAAAAGTTGGATGGTGCATTTATGCCTAATTTAGTTGATTTTTATTAGTTTCCAACGGGGTTATTTTCCACTGGAAAAATTTGAAATTTTACTATGATACGTCCCTGACTTTTCTCGTTTTGTCCAAAAAATTTCATAATTTTCCTTTGGATAGTTTTCCAGAAAAAAAATAAAATGTTAGATGGTACATGTATGACTAATTTAATTGATTTTTATTAATTTCCAATGAGGTTTTTTTTCACTGGAAAAATTTGAAATTTCACTATGATACGCCCCTGACTTTCCTCTTTTTTCCAGAAAATGTCATAATTTTTCCCTGAATAGTTTTCTAGAAAAAAATAAAATGTTAGATGGTGCATTTATGTCTAATTTAGTTGATTTTCATTAATTTCCAATAGGGTTTTTTTTTCACTTCAAAAATTTGAAATTTTAGTATGATACGCCCCTGACTAGTCTTTTTTTCCAGAAAATGTCATAATTTTTCCCTATATAGTTTTCCAGAAAAAAAATAAAATGTTAGATGGTACATTTATGCCTAATTTAATTGATTTTTATTAATTTCCATGGGATTATTTTTCATTGGAAAAATTTAAAATTTTGCCATGATAGGCCCCTGACTTTCTTCTTTTTTTCCAGAAAATGTCATAAGTTTCCTTTAAATAGTTTTCCAGAAAAAAAAATAAAATGTTAGATGGTGCATTTATGCCTAAATTAATTGATTTTTTTAAATTTCCAATGGGGTTATTTTTCACTGGAAAAATTTGAAATTTTACTATGATACGCCCCTGATTTTCCTTTTTTTTCCAGAAAATGTCATAATTTTTCCCTGAATAGTTTTCCACAAAAAAAAATGTTAGATGGTACATTTATGCCTAATTTAATTGATTTTTATTAATTTCCTTGGGGTTATTTTTCATTGGAAAAATTTGAAATTTTAGTATGATACGCCCCTGACTTTTCTTGTTTTGTCCAGAAAATTTCATAATTTTCCTTTGGATAGTTTTCCAGAAAAAAGAAAATTAAATGGTGCATTTATGACTAATTCAGTCGATTTTCATTTGAAAAATTTGAAATTTTAGTATGATACGCCTCTGACTTTTCTCGTTTTGTCCAGAAAATTTCATAATTTTTTTTTGGATAGTTTTCCAGAAAAAAAAATGTTAGAAGGTGCATTTATGCCTAATTTAATTGATTTTTATTAATTTCCAATAGGGTTATTTTCTACTGGAAAAATTTGAAATTTTAGTATGATACGCCCCTGACTTTTCTCGTTTTGTCCAGAAAATTTCATAATAGTTCGATTTCTGTGTGTTCCACCAGGACAATTAGTGGTCATCCGTCTCCAGCAGGATACTATAATTTTATAGCGTTTTATACTATAATAGTTGATCCGCAGTTGGCAACACTGGTCATTATTCTTATTATTATTAATTAATATGCAGTTCTTACCTGTTTGCAAACTTCAACAAACAACATAAGGAAATTATCCATTACCATTATCACATTAGATTTTCCTTTAGGCATGAAAAATAATGTATTTTTCACACTCTGCCTTAAATATTGAGAGATTTCTCTAGTCACTAACGAATACATTCTTCTTACACACAATTTCCATTCACTCCAGTTGAAAGCTAGAGCTCCTGCATTGCCTTCTGGTACTCCATATGGATGGTGGATCACAATTTGAAAAAGGCAAAATTCAATGAAGTTTACCTATAAAAAAAAATAAGGATTTTACTTTGCATTTTTAATAATCTGAATTCAGAATATATAAATACATATTTTTAATTACTTATAACGACTATAATAAAAACTACTCACCTTTAAAATAGAATCATGTCCACTAACACAATAAAGTTCCATCAAAGCATGAAAAGTTTCTTCCCCCAATTTTACACAAGATAACCTATTATCTTCAGCAGTCTATTTGAAAAGAAAAATAGATCATAATATAACAATATAAGCAAAATACACTTACATGTTTACAAAAATTCAAGACAATTTCCATGGCATCTTCTTGTTGAGGTCTTGGACTATTCGGGCCGACTGACTGAACTAATTTCGAAACAAAATTGAATTGTTCGCGTAGAAAACGTGTAGGAAATGCAGCCAAAGGTCCTTGTTTGATTAAAATTGAAAGACAGCTTAGCACTGATCTGTTGTTGGCTATATTCGGGCATTTTTCTTGTTCAGATTTCAGGAGGCCAAATATTACTGGAATAAATTATGGATATACATTAGGATGACATAATTATTGAAGCACTTGGAAATGGAAATTGGACTAAACACAATAAAGAGAAAACTTGAGCTATAGTGGATTTTTGTAATTAGGTATAAGATCTATTATGAGGGTAGTTTTGAAGCACAATTTAAACAGGCCAAGGCCCAATAATAATGATAAATGGACACAGTGTTCTATACTTATGTCATACTATACTTACCAATAAAATCGTCAGGCTCCAAATACCCCAAGCATTTCGAATTAAGTAATATACGATTTCTAATAATTGTTAAAAACGTATCTTTGCAACTTCTCATTACTTTTTCCCTCAAACATCCTTCAATGTATTTGATTAATAATGAAAGATCTATGTTATCCACTCCTAAAAAATAGACCAAAATTATTATATAAATTGAATCAGAGGAATCTGTATTTAACCTTCTTTAATTGCAGTTTCAACGACCAAATCTACAAATTCAAGAGCCGAAACGAAATTTGAATCTTCACATTTCAATGGGCCTTTTTTTGTTATCGTCTCCTGCACCCTTTCACTTTCCTAGTAAAATTTACATTAATTTATAGGTATCAATATAGATTCTTATTTTACCTTTTTAAAATAATTTTGTGAATCTGTCAATAAGTCGTTCCATGAAAATGGATCACTCTCGCTGAGATGTTGAGACACCTGCTGGTTTCTGAGTAGATTTGTGAATTTTTCTATGGCTTTTCTTCTTTCAGTAATTTTATTGGAGTGTAGGTTGCACCGGGCGTCCTCTAGTTCTCTTTTGAAGCTCATGATTATTACTATCTGAAAAAGATTAATAATAACTGGTTATAATACTAGATGTTTAATTTGAAGTTAGTACTAAAAAATTGTATGGAGAGTCAGGCTGGATTCTAAAAATCGAGTTATTTACGTCCAATGCGATTATTAGAAGAATTTTATTGCAGTAATCACTTCTTGATAAATTTCGAATACGATATGTCGTCTATAAATAGTGCACAATGAATCAGTCGGTAAGTCAGTTTGAATAAACGTTTTGTTGTAGTCAGGAAATTCAAATTTCTTACTGTTTATAGTGCATAGATGCCACTTATTAAAAAACGTTGATTTCCTGTAAATATCCAACTGCACGCATTGCACAACAGAAAGGAATAATGGAGTATTTCATAGTTCTAACTGATAAAACAAAACTATAGCCGCATGAAACTGATAAGAAACTATATTATTATAGATTAAAAGCAGAGAGGAGGATTCAAAATATTTATGAAAATGGGGTTCTTATTTCTCTGTAGAAAAATTTATTAATTGAGAATTTTGATTATTGGCAGTTCTCCAAGGTATGCATGCAGTAATAGTTCTATAGTAGAAGTCTCAGTAGAAGTTGAAATTTTTTAAAAAACAGAAATACGAGTGCTAACTTCGTGCTGCACCCTGAATTGATTTTAAAGGAGTAGGTACAGTCAGTACAGATGACATTTCTTGGTCTAAACGCTAAAGTAGTTCTATAGTTCTTAATTCTTGGTAAAATATTGATATAGTTCTGACCAAAAACAACAAAAACAGGCATAATTCTCAAATTTTCACAATTGTGCAAACCAACATTTTAAATAAAGCATACTTTCCAAAGTAGATACTTGAAAAAAGACTCTGCTAAGCTAAGACTTAATTGATCTCAATTCAATGATAACTTACCTATATTAGTAAAAACAAGGCAATAATATTATCGTTCTGTGAAGTGTAAGGGGAATTCTTGAGAATTTTAGAAGTTTTTTTCAATATTAAATTGAATTTTTATGGAAAAAAACCCTAAGTATAGATAGAGAATGAACCTTTTGGCAACAAGAGGAATGAAATACAGCTTTGAAGCTGAGAACAGTAGCACCTCTGACTTCCAGCTTGAATAAATGATTCTAAAAGTATATCGGAATACTAAAGGCTGGTTTCTCAATAGCAAGTCACCTCTGGGCTAAGCAGAACTCCAGGGTAAACATAGCAACTGGACATGTGTACCGTAGAGTTAAAACTAGCCCAGAGGTGAGAAACCGGTCCTAAAGGGTGCAATTCAGAACTCCTAAAAGAAAATACACAGAGAACAAACGTTTTGATACAGAGGGAATCAAAGCGTAAGTAGGTTTGAAGTATAGGTAAATAAGAACTATATTGTGATTTATAACAGAATTTTGTAATTGTAATTGTAATTTGTATCTTTGCTACTAATAAATAAATAAATAAAATGAAATAAAATAATAGTTATTTATATATCAAGGGAATTATGAGGGTGTTAATACCCCAGGGCAAAATTTGCCTGTGGGTATTAACACTTGATAATTTCCGTGGTACATAGATAATTTTATTTCCTACTGAATTTACTGTATTTAGTCCATTTTTATAAAGGAATAAACCATAAACCAAAATTTCTATTTTTTCTCAAAGCTTTACCTATTCAAGGTAAAAGCGGGAGTTATAGAAATCCTTAACTCCCCTTGGGAGTTATGATATCCTCAACTCCAGCACGGGAGTTATGAAATCCTTAACTCCCTTGGCAGTTAAGACCCTGTTTATGATTATCGTAACCAAGGTATTATATGGTTATAATAGTTCAGTAGGATATAAATAAATAAATATACAGCTTTGATGCGGAGAACTCTTGTTTTAGTAGCCCCTCTGAGTTCCAACTAGACAAACGGATTTTAAATAAAAGAATATTGCAATACCAAATAAGGTAAATGCACTAGTAATTGACACAATTAGACTCTCTTATGGAATTTAAATGTATCTTTGGGGACCCAGTAATTGACACCTATTATCCAATTATGAACACCCCAGTTATTGACACATTTTTTTTTTTTTTTTTTCTCAGTACATGAGTATATAAAATGCGTAGTAATAAGCCACAGCTGCTAGAACTTCATTCATCTGCTCTTTGGAGTAATTTTTTTTGATGTCATATCAGTAATAAATGAAATTCCAGTAATTGACATCCTGTGTACCAAAAATTGACACCCTATGTACCAATAATTGACACCCATGTCAATAACTATGGAACCAGTGATTTTTTCAAACTCATATGTTGTCAGATATGATGTGCTCATAATAAGATGTGATCGTTCTGTCAAATATTGCACTGTTTTGCTGTGATTGCGTTAAATTTGTTATGAGATCCATTCATTGACACATCAGTCAATAATTGGTACAAGGTCATAATTACATGATCCAGTCTTTGACACCCACGCCAATCTCAGATAATGTTTTTTACTAATAAATACACATTAAAACACCCTTCAATCGTACTTAAACTCTGCTCTCAAACATATGGAATAAATTAAACATAGATACATTTAGCAATAAAAAATAATATTTGATTTGTTTGCCTTAACAAATCTCTTAATTTTTCTCATCCGACAGGTAACCTGCCTTTTCACATTTTTAAATGACTGGCAGATATCATCTGATTTCTTTCATAGCTGGTAGAATGTTGTCAAATAGCGTATTAATGAAGTTTTTTTTATCGAGATGGCTCTGGGACGACGAGTTAGCTTGTCTTGATAACATTTACCTTTACTTGTCAATTACTGGAGCACTGTCAATAACTGGTGCATTTACCTTAGTTCTTTGGAAAATAATGTACCTTTTTTATTCTGAGCTACATACAATGAGGACATAAAGTCTGGAAACGTACTGAGTGTTGAGATTTATTTCTAATTAATCAAAAATTGACATTTCAATTAATCACAAATTAGCAACCAGATAAACTTTTTGTACTCTAGCTTTGAAATTGTTTTGTTTAATATTGTCATAACGATATTGAAAAATAGAGATATAGTCGAGTCTTTTTCAAAATACAGTCCACTGAAATTCGTTAATTTCTAATACGCAAATTCTGCAAGCGCTGCAAGAAGCTTGATCCAGAAAAGCGGTATTGGTAATAAGATCCATATTATCAATATATACACTGGGTGTCAAGTTATAAAGTACTACCACCTGTAACTTTTTTATATACAGTCAAAAATAAAAAAGTTACAAGTGGTGGTACTTTATAACTTGACACCCTGTACCTTTTTCAGGTGAACGAAGCACCTGAGTAGAAAACGCTCAGACATGTCGATTTTATTTTATTTCCTTGTAACATCTAAGATTTCTGAAAAATATACAGGGTGCATCACAGCTATCACTATATGATAATCAGAGTGAATTTCATTGATTGAAACTAGTTTTCTGACTGTTTTCAATCAATGAAATTTAATCTGACTGGTTTGTGATTTCTGTATGAACAGACCTATTAAAAATTCAGAGTAGTTTAGGCTTGTTTTATTTTTTGGTCCTAATAATTACCATAACAGTTGAATCTAAGTATAGGAGGACATCCTACATAATATGTACTTGAATTTACTGTAGAATTCGATAATGGAATAACATACGGGGTGTTCCATTTAAAAAAATAAAGTGAAAGATGCAAGAAAATAAACTAAGATCAACATGTGTGAGCATTTTCAGGTGCTTTATTCACTCGTTTATTTACCTGGATAAGGTGCCTTCCCTCACTGTCTGTATATCGCTAGGTCGGTTCGCACAGAAATCATAAACCAGTCAGAGTGAATTTCATTTGTTGAAACAAGTTTTCTCCTGAGTGTTTTCAACTAATGAAATTAGCTCTGATTGGTTTGTGATTTCTGTGCGAACAGACCTTATATTCGATCAAAAACTATAGAACTATTATAGTTCTATAATAGTGCATAGATGCATAGACCAAGAAATGTAATCAGATTCAGAACTTCTCTAAAATTAATTGAGAGTGCGTCATAAAGTTTTCACCCCTATTTTTTTTTTTTTTAAATTCAACTGCTACGGCAGAACTATAACTACACCCTGATGCACCCCTCGGAACTTATAGAACTCTTTCTAAACAGGCAAGAACTCATGAAAAAATTGAAGGTGCAACAAATTAGGGTGCTATTGATTAACCAGATCGTCAAAACTATGGTTTGAATACAATAATAGAATAGTGTCGATGCAAACATATCGGGTCTTCAAAAAAAAAAAACTAATCAAAGTTTGCTTTGCCTACGAAAACGTATGTTGTATTATGAGCCGTTTTCTTGTGTCCACTTTTTTCAAAACAGGTTTGAAACGGGCAGTGGGCAATGGTAACACCATTGCCGTTTCAAAAAATGTTTCGAACCAATGTCAAAAAAGTGGCCGCGAGAAAACGGCTATTGTTTCTTTATTGCTCAGGATTTTTGACATGACATTTTGACATTAAAGTTCATTGACAAAATTAAAGAAAAATATTGCTAAGACATACATTTAAAGGCGGTTACACACGGACGTTGATGTCTGAAAACATGTACGCACATACATGAACGTGCAAACAAAAACATCAATAGGTCTGTTCCCACAGGAGTCTCTGACAGTTTGCAAACTATCAGTAAGCATCGCCCATACATGTTTTCAATGCTGTCGTTACAAGATAAATCTGCAACTCAGCTGAGCGATTGTTTCTGACAGGTTGCAAACTGTCAGAGACTCCTGTGGGAACAGACCTAATGTGTATGCAAAATATCGTCGCGTTTTTGAATGTGCAATTTTGTATGCACACTCGGAACACCGTAGCAAGAATAGCAAGACTGCAGTTTTGAGCGAGCGTCTCTACAAAAGCGCCATGCACGTTGATGTATGCACGTATATGTATTAAGACATACACGTCCGTATGTAACCGCCTTAAAAAAGCACAGCAATCTTGTTTTTTTTTTTGAAGACCCGTTATAATACAAGTTCTTTTTTAACAGACATGAGATGAGAACAGTTTCAGAGCCATTTATTTCCAGTTGCCCACCTATTTTTTAATAAGTTGAAAGTTTGTTCTAATTGACAAGTGAATTGATCGACTGTAAATTACCGTTCTAGCGAGCGTTCTAGAATGGTTCTCATGTTTGTTGGTACAGACCTTTTGTATTGGGCATCTAACCGGACACTCGCAGACTGAGAACATACAATAAGTACAGAAAGGCCCGAAAGTTACAACAACAGTTGTAGGATTTCACTTTCTTATTCATTTACATTACATACACATATTGCCCTGTTTAATAAATAGGACCTACTCAAGGAGAGCCGGAGCCCACATCCTCTAAAACCTATTCCCTCCAGCTTATTCAATAAAATAAAATGATTTATCAAATCAATCTTGATCAAACGCCTTTTGCAGGTCAGCAAAAACCGACATTACGATTTTGGGAAACGAATCTATTCTACTTACAGCAGCTTTGCACCAAAAACAGTGAAAAAACATAAAATGTACAGTACATACATACCTTTATTTTTACCAAAATAAAAACACTTCATTAATGACCATAATGGAACAAAATCTACGTAATACGAATAGGTATTCTAACAAAAAAAAAACCGATAGTTTAAAGATAAACTTATGATGTATTTTGTAAATAGAGATTATTTATCAAGAGCCACTAAAAACCGCCAAAACACAAAACAAAACAAACAAATTTGAGGTTATAGTAAAGGTTAAGCTATGTTCCAACCATTTTTCCAACACAGCAAGAAACCGTACACCATCACGATTCTGGGGCAAACCAAAGATTTTATAGGTTCGGTTTTACTGCGCCCAGAGCGCTCCCGTCGGGGCTGTACGTCATTCGAGAGTGATTATAATCCAAACGAGGGCACCCCATTTGAAATCAATTACTCTATTATTTTGATCAAACTCTTTATCCATCGAATTTGACGGAGCAAGAAAGAGCGTTCCGCGCGAGATTTGAGAGCCGTTCTTTTGCTCAAGTCGAATTAGGGCGAGTATTATGAAACTCTCTCGACAGATGAGTTAACTTCTGGAATGATGTTACTTCTCATAGTAATTCCAGAAGTTAACTTTTAGTTATCTATCACAATAGTTTTATAATACCCACTCTTTAGTGAAATTTCTCCAACAACGTTCCGTTTTAAGCCAAAAATATGAATTCGCTTTTTGATCAATCCGGGTTTAGTTTTGAGGAAAAAGTGGAACGCACTATGAAATTTGTGGGATCCAAACTGTTCCGAGTTCATTCGGAGTAATTCGCTTCACAGAACGTACCATCGTCACCACTCACCAAAAGTATTTGGGACACAAATAATGGACAAGAGCTAATGTGATGCTGTCCCAGTCCCAGTTACTTTTGGGGACGATGGTACGCTTTCCAAAACCAATCAAGTACTACGAGGGTAAATAGGTGCTCAAAAAACGGACGGAGCAAGAAAAAGCGCTCCGTGCGAGATTTGAGAATGTTCTATTCCTCAAGTCAAACAGGTGAAATTTCGCCGAGAGTAACGCTCCGTTTTTAAGCCGAGCCATTTGCATCCGTTTCACGCTTTTTGTTCATCGGGTGTAGTTTTGAGAAAAAGTCGGAAGCACTATAAAATTTAAAATTTGTGCGAACCAAAACTCGTCGTTCCGACTGTTCCGAGTTCATGAAAGATAGAAGTCATTCGGAGTAGCTCCCTCACAGAAAACCATGTACTTCGAGAGTAAATACTAAATAGAGGTGCTAAAAAGAACGGGCAGCTTGAAAAGACCGAGTCACTAGTAACTCGATTCTCGAAAGTCGCTCGGAGCATTCGCAGATTGCAGATGTTAAAATGAAAGTGTGAACTTGGCTTTGTGGGCTATGTTGTTCAAATGTCTTAAATGTCATAACAATGTAACATAACCAAAGATAAACTGTTCACTTTGAGAAAATTTAAAAAAAAATAAAATACAAAACATCAATCCCGAATCCCGATTATTTCTAGTTTTTCAAGAAGTAAATGTTGGTATGTAATTAGAAATCCTGTAATCATTTTGCCCGTTTTGTTATAAGTATAGAGTATAGAATACTATTTTTTCGTTGGACTGTACAGGGTGTCCCATTGAAGATGAAAATTGGGTTTATCTGCTAAACTCGTAGAGGTAGATTTTTTTTTATTTCTCGTTCCCGTGCCAATTTTTTATGAGGAATCGAATGCTGGAAACCGCAGGTCTCTATCTTATTTCATTTTGGAGATACAGGGCGAAATTTGAAATGTTCACTTTTTGAGAGTAGTCTATCTAGCGTATTGAAAGGAGATATTAAAAAAGTGAAAAATGTAGGTATCTGACGCAGTTTTTTATGTAGATTTTATTGGCGTGCTGAATTTTTTTTTTGAGATAGGTTAGGTTCTGTTCAAGAGATGACACAAACTTCATATTTTTTAAATCAGTGGCGGATTTAGAGGGGGGCGCGGGGGGCGCCGCCCCCCCTATTGAGCAACGCAACAACGAAATTTTTAACGAAAACACAAACATATTCATCAAGCATTATCCAACATGAAATTCCATATGGTTTTTGCTATTTTTCCAAATTTTTAATACTTTTAAATATGTTTGGCAGCAGCGAGCTGGGAGCGAATCGACTGCGGATGACGTAAATCCGCGCCAACTTTGAATTTAATCTATAATTGAAAATTCCAATTAAATTTAATCTCCGATTAAATTAAATGTTGATGTCAAATGATAGTTTATGAAAATCTAAGATAGGAATGTGAAATCGGTTTTCCTCTGAAATTAACCGTTCAGGTTTTACAGTCTGTCAAAGTTGCAAAAAGTCAATGTTCAACTGTCAATATTTCCAAAACAGTTGAACTTAGGTATAGGGTATATCACATGAAATCTGCTCAGAATTTTACGTAGAATCCAAATATGCAATCACATACAGGGTGTTTTATTTGAAAAAAGAAAGTTGATCTAGATAGCAAACAAACCAGAAGTGACACAGGCAATACGTTTAAGTAGAATTGTGGGAAATATTAGGAACATAAAGCTACTTGAAATAATTCATCGGTATCGGTAGCCGTAACGCAACTAGATACGTTGACAAGCGAAAAGGCTGTTAAAGCGCTCCCTGTTCCGGTAAACGTAAACGCATTTCATAACCTAGACATTTTTGTCTCAAAACTTCGGCGTTTTTATATCTAACCTTAAAATTGTTATTTTTTTTGCGATAGAGAAGCACTAAACACACAAGAAACTCAAGAAAGTATAAACTAAACAAATTAAATCAACCCGGAAGAAAAGGGAGGTTATATTCAATTAAAATTTGACACATGCGTCAGGAATGTCAAGATACGTTACCGATACGGATACCGCGAGAGGGCCGTAACGTTACGTTGTACTACAGTGGCTAAATAAACCTTTACATACAGTGGCGACAATAGAGGTCTTGCTGCCATTTTGTTCCCAAGCTCTTGTTACTTTTAAATAATAATTTTTAGGATTTAAATGGACATCTATCATAAAAAATTGAAATCGACGTATTTGATGACTATTATTAGGTCCATCAAATACGTTGTTTTCCATGTTTTATGATGGATTTTCACCCAAATCCCATATATTCATATTTGAAATAAGCAATAGGTGGCAACAAGATGGCCGCGTTTCCAATAGAAATATATGGGATATTAGAACCAATCAAAAATAAGACAGCAATTGTCGCCACTGTGGGTAATAGAGTCACTGTACGTTGTACGTACGGTATCTCGGCCTCCGTATCGCTTCTGCACATGCGCAGTACGATACCGATACGGATACCGAGCAAAAAATACGGAAGCTTTATGTCCCTAATTTACTGAGCAACTTTCATTAAGGTCACTTTTTCGTATACGAGGTAATTAGAAAGTTACAGGTATTATACGCGACTTTTTTGCCACTCTGTATATTTAAGTCGTTTTTTTATTATTTCTTATCTGAGCCTGAGGCCCTGATGGATCGCCCCCCCCTAGAAGGAATCCTAAATCCGCCGCTGTATAGGACGCCCTGTGAGTTTTTACATTTTTAGAATGTACACATAAGTTACTTTTCCAATGATATAATAATTTATCTACAGTTTATTTTTTCCCAAGATAGATTTTGACACTGTCAACTTTGAAACATAAACAATGCTGCTAATGCCAATGCCGCTTATTGGTCGCCATTGTAAAACTGATGTCAACCTGCAGGAACACCGAACACCTCATTTTGTGACCAATCAGGGTCAAGCGTTATTGTTTCAAAGTTTTCAATGTCAAAATCTATCTTGGAAAAAAATAAACTGTATATTATTTTGTAATTTGCCAATATTATGGTATTTGAAATTTTCCATGAGAATTAATTAACCCTTGGAAATCGCATCAAATATTTGGTTTTATTTGATAGGTACAATATGTGAGAAACTTATAATTTTTTCATGTATGGCATGAGACACCCTGTAAAATAATAGTTTATCAAGGGCTGATTTATTCACCTGATAAACTCTTAGGCAGAGCTGTCACCCAAGCTGTCACCAGTACATTACTAAAGTATAGTCTGGCTAGCGAAACGGCGAACTGCAAAAGAATTTGCTAATTTGCCAAACTTGACGGAAATAATGAAAAACAAGTTGGTGACATTTTTTTTTGCTATATGAGCATGTGTAGTATTTTGAAATAGAAAAAAATCCGGCAACATTGCAAAATGATAGATGTGGAGAGGCGTGATTATTCAGAGGTATGATTCTATTGGTTAGAGTCTGAACGACAGCAGGCAGTGGCGTGGTTATTGGCGAAACTAAAGAATTTTTTTTTCTAATAATTTTATTGGTGTTTCCGGTGCCACTGAACCGAAAGACATGGCTGTCATCAGGTGGTGTCAGTTGAGGTGTCAGTGAATATTTTTAGGTCACGCCCCACTTTTCTTCCCCCTTTCGTCTCTACCAAGTTACCACTTGCCAGACTATACTTGGAGTACAAGTACAAAGTACTCAAAGTTTTTTAGAAGTAATTGAAGTACAAAAGTACATTTTTTTCTCAATGTACCTACTCCAATTACTTAGTAACTCGCCTAGTAATTTAATTTTTCAGAGTTCTTAACTTGAAGTGCGAATGAAGTATTTTAAGTACTTGTACTTCAAAAATACATTATAATGTGTCTTTCGGGGTGTCTTTCTCATAAATATAAAACATAACAATTTTTTCATGTATTATTTTTCTTATAACCTTTGTCAAAAATTAAGCAACAATCCAATAAGCAATCTCTAATGTCTGTGTTACTTTAAATATTCAATAATATAAAGTACTTCAAGTCGAGCTTCAAGTACACTTTTGAAGTACTTGGAGTACTTCTGGTGTACTTCAATTATTTCTATGTTCTTGACGAGGGGGCGACCCGAGGGGTAGGTCACTCAATAGAATTTGTACACCTAATTACAATTACATGTATTTTTTTGTAATTGAATGTAATTGAGAATGTAATTGAATGTCTATAATTAAATGTATTTGAACGTAATTGAATGTAATTAGGTGTAATTGAGTGTAATTGAATGTAATTGAATATAATTAAATGTAATTATTTTTTATTTGAAATAAAGATGGATGATAGAGAGGGCATGTGTTTATATCTAATTGACAGTAATTAATTGTAATTGAAAGTATTTGAATGTAATTAAATGTAATTGGATGTATTTGTGCGTAATTGAACGTAATTAAATATAATTGAATGTAATTGAATATAATTGAATGTATTTGAATAAATGTATTTGAGCGGTATTTGAACGTAATTGAATGTAATTGAAGTAATTGAATTGTAATTGAATGTAATTGATTGTAAATAATTGTAATTGAGTGTAATTAAATGTAATTGAACGTAATTTCAAGGTAATTGAGGTAATTAAATGTATTTTTTCAATTACATTCCAACAGTTGTACACCTAATTGGGGAGTGACCTACCCCTCGGGGCGACCACTTCCTGCAATTTTTACATTTGGCCTGAAATCACTTGCAATCATCTCCGAAATCTTTCTGAAATCCCGCAGTCAGTGCGCAATATCTGAAATCCTTCTTGCAGTCCCGAAATCGTTTTCTGCAATCGCCGAAATCCTATACAATCACCTTTGCAATCTCTGAAATCGCGCAAAATCATCTCCAGTGGGGATAAAAAATCAGCTGTTGATCCGTTGATCGGGATTGTACAGTTAACATTGTGCATTTATTTATTTACGGGAAAACCCCATTAACTGTTAAAATACAATTTAAGAAAAAATATAAAGAATAAAGCATAAGTTAGGTACTATCTTATAACTATAACTACATAAATAATAAATAGGTATTATTTAACTATAAAAATTAATACTACACAATAATATAAAACAAATTTGATTGATAGATACATTGATAATTGACATCAAGTTTTTGTTGCTCTCATTTTCGAATTCAACATTGTTTTTTTCAATCAAATGCTGGATCTGATGTGGAACAAGTGGAAATGTTATCCAATGAAAAATATTATGCAGCTCTATAGGAGACCTGATATATTGGGCGTATTTCAGAATCATTGGAAAATGACACTGCCAATGCCAGCTTAAGATTAAGGATTAAGCTCGCACACTCTAGTTAGATAAGGTCGAATCTTTGAAAATCTAGTACCTTATATTTAGGGCTATTTAAGTACATTCATGGCATGCCTAAAAAGCTAACAATGATGTATTTATTACGAAATAACCACGGAAAAGTGCTAACTTAAGACTTGAATTAACACACATACATCGAATCGACCGCGCGAGAATGGAATTCGCATGCACATTAATGCTAATTTAGTAATTCAAAAACGACGACCTGAAACGAATTAGTATCACATCAGCACAGAGCTAGCTAGCACTTGTGTGCTGGCTTAGTGTTTAAGTTGAGGAACATTATCACCGATGACGCGATGAAACTAGAGTACTAAGTTAGTACACATTTAGTGCTAATTTCGGACGTTAGTTTTGGTTAGTTTGGGTTAGTTCTG